GAAATGAACTGAACTGGTTTACTTGTTAATTCTGTTAAAATGACAAAACTTGTTCAAAAGGTTGAAAAAAATGTTAAATCAAATGGTTGTTAATAACTACAGCACTTATCAAGCTTAACAAATTCAAATCTTTCAACAGCTCTTTTTCAAAACATTCTGAAAACTTTGAATTCTGTCTTTAGGACAATATATGACAAACAGAGCTAGCAGAATATTATTTAATATCATGGTGAATAACCCCCTAATCTGTAAACCAAAGACTTAAGTCTGCACTAAACATGCTAAAAGATTACGTATTGATAACTGATTAAGAATTCTAAAAGCAGATCAATATGGATAATTTAGACAATACTATTAACAAATAAAATGTCAAACATCAGACTCCACTAAAAAAAAATTATATGACAGCATCTAAAGTATATCTTGAGACCAAATATATTAACATGGTAATTATAACTTACATCATGTTTATATCCGAGTTAACAAAACATAAATTTTGGGTTGTTTCATCCATAACAAACAAAATATGGTAAGTCCTCCTGCTTTCTGCTAGTCCATCTTTACCATTACACAACAAACCTTGGTCTCATTCAAGCACACATCAGGATTACCAACAGAAAATCATAGGAACAAAAAAATAAAACACATTTACCAAAATGTTGTATCCATACAATATTGTTATGTGCAGGATGGACAGTGCCAAGGATTACCTCCTTTTCACTAAACAACATTCAGAAATAACCCACTATACAGATGCATTTCTTAACTCTGTTCCTGTTAAATTTATATAAATAATTAGCAATATTAAAAATGTCAAAATGGACAAATATTGGCACCATTTCCCCAGATACCTGGTGTCTGTATAGCAAAGAAAGCTAGCATCATCCACTATGTGGTTACACAACACACTATATATTATACACATATTAATCCACCTGTAGCTAATGTACCACTGATGGAACAGAAGCACTCATCAGGTGCAGGGACTTCATGTACAATCATATATCACAACATTCTATGATATATCCCATATGTACATATTAAACATCATAATCACCGGATGTAATTGCATGTCATCTTTGTGTCAACTAGCTGACTTTCTGAACACAAGACACCTGTGAACACATGGGCTCTTTTACCCACAATTCTCCTCTCTCATCTCCACGGTAACAGCTCAAATGGGCTTAGTTGTCGCCCTCCGCTCATCTCCACCTGCAAACCCTTACAATATACAGGGTTGCGTTGGCGTATCAGCACAACTGCTGCAAAACTGGCTTCTGTCAGTCGAGGCAAAAATATCACTTGCAGCGATATGAGAATTAAAACCAACAAACGCTAAGCCTCCATTTTCATGATACCGTTCAGCTTTTACAGTTATCGCCTGAACCCCCACTGCCAAAGCACTCTCTTTTCTTCATAAGTGGCTTAACCTAATCTAATCCAGGCTGGTCTGAACTGCAATGGTGGTTTCGGAATGTTGGTAGAGTTGGAGCACGCCATTCCATGGTCTGCTCCAGTGGGTACACTAGCACTACTACAAAGTCTTTTCTTCAGAGGCTCGTCACAAGCTGGCTCGCACATTCCACCGGGCCTGTCTCTTCAACGCTGGACTGGTTGGTTTCAATGATGACTGCTTATTGTCACCGATAGTTATCAACTTGTTTTCTCCGCCAAAGGAAGTTGTGTTCTGAATGTTAACAGCTACTAATTCTCATCTCTGGCATCGAAGTCTGCTTTTAGGTTCGGCTTCTCGCATTTCAGCATGGGGCAGAGCCTTACTGATTTCAGCCACCGCTGATTCGGATTTGTCAGGATTCTTTTAAGACTGTCACATGCACCTAGGAGAGCAGCAATCTCAGCAACATCCATGTCGTTCTCAGAGTAGAATATTCTGTCTGGTAGTTTCTCCTGCACAGGTTGTTGCTCCTTGGTAGATTTCTTGTGTAGTAACAGCTGCATGTTCTCGCTCAAACCAGACACAAGCAGTGCATCTGTTGAGGGAATGGTCACCTTTGCGCGGGGAGATATCACTTGCAGAGCAGTGGGTTCCGCCAACCGAGTCAAATTCAACTTGCTTTATGGAAATTCCCTGCATGAATGATAAACTGTCCTGCTTGTCGTCCGTGCATTGATTTTTCATTTTTCTTCTGCATGGGGAATCCAAACATGGATGAGAATTTACCAGGTCCATTTTGTTTGAACTTCTCTTTATTGAGGTCATTTCTTGATCACTGACTTTGCTCTGAGAGTTGTCTGCCCCTTGACCATTCATCCCTTCCACTGCCACCTCTTCCTGGTCGACCGGGCTACACAAGACAATCAACTCTGAAACAATGAACAGATCAACATCACAAACTGGTACTAAGATATTTCAAACAATTTCATGGTCAGTAGGAAAAATGATCTTTAGAAAAAGTGTCTCAAATTTCAATTTTGATCAACATGTTTGTGACTCTGTTGTTTTTATACGTAACTTTATATTCCAGCTATATGACAACAGACTGTAAATAATGGCACCTGGATTAGGCTGCCTAGTGATTGATATTGTCAACACATAATCTACCTAATTGGGGAACTATAATAACCCACATGGTTGGGGTACAATGAGCCACACGTTTGGGGAACTGCAAAGATCCATATGACTGGGGAACTACAATGATCCACATGAGTTGGGTACAACAATGATCCACATGGTTGGGGGACTTCAATGATCCTCATGATTGGGGGACTTCAATGATCCTCATGATTGGGGGACTACAATGATCCACATGATTGGGTGACTACGATGATCCGCATAATTGGGGGACTACGATGATCCGCATAATTGGGGGACTACAATGATCCACATGGTTGGGGGTCTTCAATGATCCTCATGATTGGGGGACTACAATGATCCGCATAATTGGGGGGACTACAATGATCCACATGATTGGGTGACTACGATGATCCGCATAATTGGGGGACTACGATGATCCGCATAATTGGGGGACTACAATGATCCAAATGGTTGGGGGACTTCAATGATCCTCATGGTTGGGGGACTACAATGATCCACATGGTTGGGGGACTACAATGATCCACATAATTGGGGGACTACGATGATCCGCATAATTAGGGGACTTCAATGATCCACATGATTGGGGGACTACAATGATCCACATGGTTGGACGACTACGATGATCCGCATAATTGGGGGACTACAATGATCCACATGGTTGGGGGACTTCAATGATCCTCATGATTGGGGGACTACAATGATCTGCATAATTGGGGGACTACAATGATCCACATGGTTGGGGGACTTCAATGATCCTCATGATTGGGGGACTACAATGATCCTCATGATTTGGGGACTACAATGATCCACATGATTGGGGGACTACAATGATCCTCATGATTGGGGGACTACAATGATCCACATGATTGGAGGACTATGATGATCCGCATAATTGGGGGACTACGATGATCTGCATAATTGGGGGACTACAATGATCCAAATGATTGGGGGACTACAATGATCATACTACAATAGCATCTGACCCTCTGACAAATCCGGAAGATTCGCCAACGGTCAGACAGAAGTCTACAACCCGACAGCCCCAGTGTCTGACTGTAAATTTCACATTGACTTTGACTGAAGTTGTTATATGTGTCATGTGACACTTGTTTGCTGTTTATAAATCTTATGTTTGTTAATAATTTCAATGCCATTTATAAGAAATGTTAAATCTGAAATGTGTGTTTAATTATATTCTATGGGTCCTGTGAATTTTCAATGGGTCAGACAGACATCTGAAACTTGTTACTTTGAAACACCATTCGTGAACACTGATTGGGGTACAACAATGATCCACATGATTGGGGTACAACAATGATCCACATGATGGGGCTACAACAATGATCCACAACCAAATCAACAAGTTTGACAACCCAATTCATTTAACAGACCGCCACCATATAGCTGGAATATTGCTGAGTGTGGCGTAAAACTCAACTCACTCACTCACTGATAGCCTCTTAGGATCAGTATAGGTTGCTGGGGACTTATTCTAATCTAGATGCCCATGAGATAAACACATATCAGCTTTAACGTGTAGTGTGTGAAGAAAGATTGCATGTTAAACCAGCGTGGACGTATCCATCTCAAAATGCTTAAGTTATATATACCCACAAAAACATGCATGCTTGACATAACTGGTATGCAATATTTATCTTTGGTCATATCATTAACAAGACCACAGCATGGATGACACAGAAATCACACCTACCTCCTTGGTGGTATTCCACTAACAGTTTTCAGCCAGTCAGCAAATTTCTTGATGTCCTTCACAAGCAGGCCACTTAATTAACTCTAAAACCTTCATCTTTGCCGATCTCAAACCTGGAACAATGGCCAACAAGCTAATTAATAACAACATCATGCAAAATCATGGTAACCATTCTGTAAGAATCACCCCAGCTTTTATGATGTGACCAACTTTGAAATTTGGGCCAGATCTTAACAAAACCCAGTTAGCATTGACCACCCTACACCAGTGGGGTTTATCTGGAAGTCTAACTGTCCATGTCTGGCAAACGTTTCTTTGGTAAAAATTGGTACTTTCCTAAATTCTTATCTCAGGCATATTAACAGTGCATTCAACACCCATATTCCGAAGGTGTCAAGTTTATCCCTAACTCTGCTTTGTCTTATGTTGGTTGGTTTGTTGTTTTACTACCAGCAATATTCCAGCTATATGGCAGTGATCTGTAAATAATCGAGTGTGGACCTGACAATCCAGTGATCAACAGCATGAGCACTGATCAGAGCAATTTAAGACGATGACATGTGTCAACCAAGTCAGCGAGCCAGTGATGGTATTCCTCATAGCCTTGTAGCATTTGAGGATAATAATATATATAGTTAACCACTTCAAAACACTTCAACCCAAAACAACGGACAGAAAATGTAAATCTGGTAAATATTCTTCTTCAAGCAGGACTAGCTACAAACCATAGTAGTAACAGTAGTGTAGATTAGTGAAATAAGGTGTACCGTATTCCAATGGACTAGTTCTAAAATCCTAATTTCTTTGGTAGGCTATGTAAACATCAAATCTATATCTGGGTAATTTGTATATTGAAAGTCACTAGCTTTATCAGATTCTCAAGGCAGGCTATGTAACAGCCGTACCAAATGATAAAGGTACCTGTTTACTATGTTCACATTGTCTAACTCAATATATATTGAAGTATCACAGATAAAAGATGAGACAAAAAGACAATTACTCCAGATATAGGTCTGTACATATGCAGAGGTTTTAACAAAATGCTACAGATATATGTCTGTAGGTATGTAGATAGGTTTAACAACATGCTACAGATATATGTCTGTAGGTATGTAGGTTTGTGTAGAGGTTAAACAAAATGCTACAGGTATGTAGGTTTGTGAAGAGGTTTAACAAAATGCTACAGGTATATGTATGTATGTGTAGAGGCTTAACAAAACAAAATATATACCCGTGATAAAAATTTGCCATTTTTAGGGTTCTGCTCAATTATCCTCATGAGTACGAGTGGACTAGAAAGGTAAGTTTCCATTGCTGGCATGTAGTTAAGGAACATTGTGTCATTACAACATCTTGGGCGGGCTTACCAACAACGCTCTCATCCACTGGGTCGTCATCAGGGGACTCCGAATCTAGCGACGAACTGTCTCCTAGCGAATTATCATCAGCAAATGAATCATCTTGTGACAACACACTGGGCACTCGCACAGTTCGCTCAATGTTCAATGCATCTGTGCATATTGTTTCAATAAGAGGAATGTACGATGGACGAATCGAGTGGTTTGTGTAGTTTTCCTTAACTCCAGCTGATATTGATATCCTCTGCATGATTTTACTCAGGGTGGAGTTACCCAGTGGGGTATTGTCAAACCACACATAATCTGACTGGGATACACTCCGCTTAGGGACGCTGCCAGAACGCTTCAGTCATGGGATGGAGATGGGTCAGGTACCTCAAGAATGATGCTACAGGGCAACGAGGATCTCCTGCAAGACAGTTATAACATTTATGAACCAACTAAGCAATAACAGCGTTATAAACCATCATATCAATATAAATTGGAAGGTATGTATACATGGTCGATAAGACTGACTTTCAAATCAGTTAAACTCTTCCCATTGTATGTAATTATGTATATCCTGAACGGAAACTACTCTACACCATTGTACTACATACATGATTTATCAAAGTGTCATAACATTTGATGATTTCTTTTGTCAACTATACAACATTATAATTAGGGCGGTACAACCTTCACTCAAAACACCCACCTGTGTAACCTAGTTATTACTAAGAATGACAGTATGTCTTAGGTGTGGAGTGTGGGTGGAATTCTTTCTCAATAACGCTGTCACACAATATTTCTTGATTATTTCACAATATCACTCAGTTATACATACTTTATTATTTCTATTACAAATAACATTAGTATGTAGGCTGTGTACTAGTTAGCCATAGGCTCAGTTGCTGTAGTGGGTGATAAGATTTCTATAACTTCTATGACATCACAATGAGGAAAATGTTAGTGACCTACCTGGTCTTTCCAGCATCTTTTCCCCTAGCCTTGTTCCAGTATGATCTACATCACCGTAGCCACCCATCTCCTTGATGTTGAACTTAGGGTGGTATTTTAACCAAACACTTTTCCTTCCGTCAACTTCTGTCGACACCACAAAATCATTTTTCGTCATGGCCCTCATACAGTCTTTCCCTCTGTTGACAATGTATAAATTCACATCGAAAAACACCTTATTTTGTAGTGTTTCAGGGTTGTCGGTTTTCATTGCATCACTGAAATAGATTTTCCTCAAATCATCCATTTCTATTCTAAGTCTATGACACTTGCGTGGCCCCATTCTAACAGCCATCTCATAACACGCGTTGGCATTTTCAAAACTTTTGTCTTTGACAATGTCCAAGCCGGTCTCCTTCATGAAATATTTCTGTAGACCGAGCCTGATATCTTTCAAACTGACAGTTGATCTGACCGGACCCTCCTCGAGCTTGGTCCTGACCTTACCATAAAAATCTCTGAGAAACTCCGACAACTGGTGAGGGGGCATGTGTGTTACACTATGAATGGTGTGTCCTTTCGTCATAGCGTATAACACTAACTGGTGTGTCGCCGAACCTATTAGGCTTTCCGTTTCACCATCAAAACTAGTCTCAGAAAAGTCCTCGGATGAACGACTGCTCAGTGATCCCGAGTGTTGTCTCTTTTCCATTTTGAAGTCGAACTTACTCGTCGTAGCTTGAGCCATCTTGTTGCTCAGATGATGACGTCACACGATCCTAACATGGAAGGGTCTGACGTAGGTGTTTTCACGGAGACACTGACATCAAGTGAATGAATAATGGATTAAGAACAAAATGTCATCTCTTCGAATGGAGGCTTTGATATAAAGTGTCCACAACTCTGCCGAAGACAGTTTACACACAATTGTGACACAGTGGTATATCGAGTAGATCGTTAATGTAGTTTGGTTGAGTGTACCCCCTCCCTCCCCACGATGGACTGGCCCAACTACGCAAGTGTTTCAATTCGTCACAGTAGTATGAGTCAGCGCGTACCGACTTCCGGGGGAATAAAACTCATAACAGCACAGCTCCGACCTAACAAAAGTATGACGTCATTGCCACGCCACTTGACAACGGCTAGAAATAGAGAGCGCTTAGTAGGTGAGCGTGATCGAAACCGGCGTGTGGAGCTCGCCTTGTTCTGACGTCAGAGCAGAAAGCTGACACAAACAGCTTGTGACCGGCTTTATCATTGATCAGTGGTGGGACACTGAAATATCGCTTGTACCTTCTATTTCTTGGTTGCCGCTACGTTTTGGGGTGGGGTCTTTACTATTACCCACTTGTATGGGTTACAGCTTTGTCCGGTATGTCATTGTATTTCCTCTTTCCCGTTACTGGATACGGTTCGTAGAATTTATTATGTCACTGTTGTGACGTGAACGCGGAGGCAGGGAAATTATTGATTGACTTTTTGTGTGCTCCGAGATTCACGTGTTGTTCATGTCACGTAATGGAATTATGTCACGAGGGCGTTGTATGTGTCATATTTACTTAACAACATATCTCTGTATATATGTATATAAATATTTTTTTCCCGTGACATAGTCAGGTATTGGAAATGAATATATGGCTCTGTAATTAATTTAAAAACTATTCGAGGAATGCTGTTTAAATGTCAAGACTGTATAAACTGGTTTCATCTTAGGCCTATTTCCAGGACAAGCCTGTTAACATATATTCCTTGAAACTGAACCTTTCCTGTGAATGCGGCAGAGTTGATTAAGGTTAATAGGACCAATTGTAGATTTCTAGTTATTACATTTGAACATGTAGAACGAGTGGAGAAAGGGGGGCATAGATTCATCAAACGATATTCACCAAACGCCTGGAGAATATCCCAGCGACAAATGACATTTACAGACGCGCCTGGTATTGACGTCAGTTGGCGTGGTCTGACGTCATCACTCGCGCGGTCACCAGGCACTAATGTTATGTTGCTAAGAGATAGTAACTGTAAATACAACCAGTTTGGCAGGCAGCTTTAGCCAACTCTAAACTTATGCAGACTTTAAATATACTTATATCGTCATCTTTTAAACTTCAGGTTGACACACAGATGACATGTGATATAATTAAAGACCATAAATCCTATATTTTAGACGAACTTTAAGTTTAATGCATTAATAGATTCATTTTGTTTTTACTCCTGATGTTTCTCACTATTTGGTGAAATTCACCTCCTTTGGTTTCAAGGACACGACAGGGGAAGAAAAGAACTCTCATCAAATATCAACAGACAACATCATTCTCTGCCGAACATTTTATTTGACGGGGCGACGATGACGTTCGACCTCATACCTTGACGTCACAATGACGTGGTTATTGACGTCAGAGGGTTATTAGCGTGGTCGGCGCTCTATCAGAGTACCTGTTCGATATTGTTGGAAACAGAAGACGTATTGTAGTTAATATACTTGACTAAACATTTCTGATGTCAACCTGGATAGAGGGGGATGGGGGTGGGGGTGGGGTGGTTTCGTTAGATGAACCCCCTACTTGGATCCATCAGTGCGTGTTATGGTTCACTCTTGGTTCACGAACTATTTTTCTTTCAAAACATAGCAATACATATTTTAAATTCATTTTTTATTTAATAATGGATTTTAAATTTTAAAAAAGAAGAAGATTATCATAAATTAATTATAACCTATAGCTAACATGTCAATATTGAAATTTGGTATACCTGTACATGTCGACTTTTTCACTAAATGATTATATTTAGTTAGAGAAAGGTAAGAGTTGAAAACCCGTGAATACATGGGAACAAGTTGCTGCGAGCACGGCTGGTGAACAACCTGTGTATATCTCCCCGGTCGATATACGTTGCCTCGCTCTCTACAAACACACCAATCGAGTTCTGACTTGTTTACATTGAATGGTATATATAATGGCGGCCCGGCGGAGAGGGACATGGGTTTGTTTGGTTAGCGTTCCTTACACTATGTAGGTAATGAGGTTTGCGCATGATCAATAATTACAGGTGAGTTGGCGTTGTCGATGGAGCTTAATTACTGCACATGGTCCGAATGACAGTGTACCTGTTGCACGTTAGTAGGCCTATTTTGAATATATAGATCTGGTATTGTGGGATGTTTGCGACCATGATATTTAACACTGGGTGTTATGTGCGGTAACTTCATTTCGACATAACAACTGCGTGGAATCCTGTTGTTAATCGTTGATTACGATTTCCCCCGTGTATGAATGACGGCTTTGTGAACCCCGATAATTCAGTGTATTATATCTCTATAAATACATACCCAGGACTCATTAGTTTCGGTTGGGAAGTGACGTCACCACCCCCTCCTCTCTGACAAAGCACAACTATTCTCTCGCTTATGGGAGCAACATTACTGGACCGCTAGTTGTAGCTTCGTGTCTATAAAATCGGGCTGAAAACGAAGTTATGGGAAGACTGGACGAATTATCTCTCTGTGTTTACCATCTCCCACCCAATCCGAATTTTCATTCCGACTTTAATTAATAAAATATTTTCTTACCTCAGTCCCCCCCCCCCCTCCCCTGTGTAGAAATGTATGCTGTTATGCAATAAAAAGAATAATTTTGCCCTTGCAATCCCATTAAGAACATGTAACAGGAGAACTTTCTTTATATACGTTTATTACAAAATTATTTCCGAAGCAAAGCGACTCAATCTACATAATAAATTAAAGACTGTCACCAAGTGATCTAAAAGTTTGAATTTCATAAAAAGTTATACTATTAGTGTAAAATATGTTTTATAATTTTAAATATTTATTTCTTACTGGTTGAAGTTGGAGATGAGAAAAAAAAGAAAATAAACACGGATGGCCGAACGAAAGGGTCAGTGGTATTTGTTGACCACTACATACGGAGAAACGGTAATTTGGATCGGATATGGTCCAAAATAATCGAATGACATTCCAGACATGAATATCGTTTATAATAAATTGAAGATAACATAACGGACAGATGAGGTGGGTTATTTTAGTGTCAGGTGAATTAGGACTCATGGCAAGGGTATGTAATAGAATGGAATTATAACGCTCTGGATAAACGAGGTCGCATGGCAATGTCCCATCCTGCTAATACATACTGTATGTCAACCTGACGAGTAAGATGGGAGGTGATGCGATAGGGAACCAGAACTTCAACGAACATAAACTTTGAAAACTCCATGAAACTATTGTTTGTGTCCAATGTCAACGTGACAGTTTTCGGTTTGCATTAAATCAGTACAAGCGCTGTACTAAGCTTGGTATATAAGTAAAGGGGCTTAGATAGGGGGAAATAAAATGTAAACAGGCAAGATGCAGTACATGTTTTTCTTGAAATATTTCAACAATCTAACACAATAATCTCGTACCAGTAGGGCAGATTTGGTATGGATGACAACACTATAATATCCTGAGGTCATGTTTCGGTATAGATCCTTACATGTCATACCGCGTCAAGTTATAGCTGCAAAGTTCGTAGAATTTAAATCGAAACGTCGCATCATATATACTAGAATAAAGAACTTGTCATCAATAAGATGTATCTTGTCTTACTGTTTTCCTTCATCTTACAAAATGCCGTTCAAAGATATAGAACCAGCTCATCCTCGACAAGTTTCACCATTGTAGACCGACCAGCCTGTAAATTAACCAGAGAGTTCCCTAGAACCAGGGATAATCTACAACATTATATAGTCTCCCTGCTAGAGTGAGTGAGTTTGGTTTTACGCCGCTTTTAGCAATATTCCAGCAACATCACGGCGGGGGACACCAGAAATGGGCTTCACACAATGTACCCATGTGGGGATTCGAACCCGGGTCTTCGGCGTGACGAGCCAACGCTTTAACCACTAGGCTACCCCACCGCCCCCTCCCTGCTAGAACAAATGAATGAAGGAACAGACTACTAAATGTTTGTTGTAAACTTTATTCCTTTATAATTTTGTAACGATTTCATATTGTAAGCTGTTGCTTTTAGCTACGCTGTGGTTACATTTAAACATAATATTTTACTGGTGAGAGGACTAGTACTAAGCACTTGCTAACACTGTGCCCCAAAAGTGATACTTTATTATTTCTACAGTCGTGCCCCGTTTAACTTGCGTATATTTATTTACCTATAGTAGGCATAAATACCCATCAACCGAAGAGCTGTATGTATGAGCAACTTAACGGACAGTCCATCGAATGTCTGCAAGACTGCTGATGCCGCAGTAAACACCATGTACTCTCGTACATTCACTCACTCACTCGAACGATAAATGATGTCCGGTTACGGTAACACACACTCAGCCAGGCCATAGGTAGATTATAACCAATCTGTTACATGATCAAAGCTGTTACGACACGTGTAGGTTACTTGGAGCCTATGGGGCAAGGTTATCCCACTGGGAAAATTTTCCCATGAAAATTTGGGGATTTTTTTTAACAAAGCCTTGAGGACACCCACACCGACTGGTTTTACTGCAGTGATGAACTAACTATATTTATGTATACGAAGTCACTTGTAAACGTACCTGCTAGTTTGTATGCTACTTGTATGGATACAAAACGAGCATTCGTAAGCACTTGTATCATTTTAGGACGGGCAGAAGGTCACGGAAACGGACGATTGTAGGCAAATGGAAAACGCGTATTCGTGACCACTCGTTTCCTCTCGGGCGCAAGTGGGGACGAATGGGCACACTGTTACGACGTCACTGGCTTTGTTACGTCATTATGACGTCATAACAAAAAACGAAATTGTTTTAAAAATGGTGAACTTCACAGAAAAATCCCAAAGCCCACTCGATGCCTTCTTTCAGATATGGGCACTCCCACCGACCAGGACAGTCATGTACAAGCAGTCCTACGCTCTATCCTCAACCATGAAGACAGCACAAATCTCCGAAACTTAATAGACAAGTGTTCCCCGGGAGCTCTGCAATCATGGCGTGATAGTAGTGACCTTGACCTTCTTCACCATGCAATACTGACCAACAACGTAGTGGCAGTCGGTACATTGTTCTCCAGAGGTCTGTTCAAGACGCCACACGAACCTGGCCGTCACCCCTACCTCCACCTTGCGTGCCATCTTGGATACAAGTCGCTCCTCATCATGCTGCTTCAGGAGAGAGCAGACGACAACAAACCAGCGCTGTTTCACTTTCCAGGAGACAAAAGTCATAGTGTAAACAGTGTAGACGTAGATAATGAACAGAAGAAATGTACGCCCCTGGACGTGGCGTCAGAGGCTGGTCACCTCATGTGTGTGAAAGCAATTTTGGATTTCTGTCAGACAGGAAGCAAACCAACCAGCAAACACAAATCCGAGAGCTATACAGATCTTGCGTGTAAACTGGACTCTCCCAGTGCCCTTCGCTTACTGCTGTGTGAGAATCCCTCTCAAGCTGATCTACAAAAAGCAGTTGCTCTTGCGCTCAAGATGGCCCGGCCAGAGTGTCTAGACGCACTGCTTCGTTATGACATTGATCAAAAGGTTGTGTTTGGCGGGATGAATTTCTTCCATGTACTGTTCAAGTATAGCTATTCCTTTGACAAATCATGGTACGAGTCTCTCGTGACAGTGACGTCAGTGTTGTTGCGCCATGGGCAGTCGGTTCACGCGTTTCATCCGTCCAGGACGTTTCCTCTCTACAGCCTACTGAGTCACACCCACTTCCACGATCTCGAGCGATCAGCACCATATCGAATAGCTTGTCTGCTGCTTCTGTTAAATTCCGGAGCGGATCCCAATTTTGATGAAATAAAAATAGAGGAGCTTGTGAATGAAAATGAATATGAAACTGCTTTCGGAAGAAAAGCCTACCCATCTGCACTTCACAGTCTTTTTGATACTCTGTCCACATATGTAGCCGATGACTGTGAACTGGACACCATCTATAAGTTTATGTACAAAAGTACAGAGATCCTCTTGAATCACGGAGCAGACGTCAACTACATTGGGGACACTGGACAGAACCGGTACGGGACCAGTCTCCACGCTCTAGCAGACACAAGCAGACATCTTGGTTTCCACAAGCAGACGTTGCTTCTGCTTCTGCGTCATGGCGCGGATCCGAACATACACACGGATTGCTTGCCGTTGAACTACTTCTGTGAAGTTTTCTATGGCGACGTTACGACCTCGACCAAAGACACAACCTTCCAGAAACTAGCAGACAGCACACGACTGGGACCTTTATTGAAAGGGATGACGCTGAAATCTCTACAGGAATCTGAACAATATATCAGACAGCTGAAAGATGACGTGGAGAAGAATTCACGTGGGAGTGCCTGTTTGGGCGTGGTATTGGAGGAGATAGAGACCTATACTACACATGTATGGAGCTTGAAAAGATCCTGTATGCAAGTAATATGGGCTCAAACTGGCAGAAAGTTCTTAAACGTTGGTTATCTCCCCTTACCGTTAGCTTTGAAGACTGAAATACTCGCGGAGGTGATGTAAATATATACAAGTATATATCAGTTTTCAAGTAATATCACAAATTTAAAAAGTTCAGTTTACAAGAGATGTCATGGAATTTGGTTGCATTATATTTAGTCACAGTCCTGGTTTCCTGGTTTCACGCTTAACACGACAAAGTCGTTGTTAGCAGACTGTGTGCGTGTGTTCTCGGGACCAGACGTGCCTATTGTTTGTCATATGTGTTCTATTGTCATGTATTGGATGGTCATGACTTGTTACAGAGCAACAATTTTACCATTCTCCGCTATACTCCGATCACATTTTATGCGGGGCGGAGGGGTAGCCTAGTTGTTAAAGAGTTCGCTCGTCACGCTCAACACCTGGGTTCGATTCCCCACATGGGTACAATGTGTGAAGCCCATTTCTGTAGTCCCCCGCCATGATATTGCTGGAATATTGCTAGAAGCGGCGTAAAACCATACTCACACACTCACTCATTATTATGCAAGCTATAAAACATGTTTTTTCGGAGCACTAAGCACGAATATCTTGGTTTTGGGCACAAGGGAAAATCCTGTAAGATATCATCGAATTCATTATATGAAATCACTCACCATGACATACCCTATTTTTCCAAAGATAAATTGTAAGATACAACGTCTAACTGAATACATTAAACACAATGATCGTTTGCTACTTGTTTCTGTTATTACGTAAAACCTACTGTATCAAAGGCTGGTCTGAGGTTAACGCCGCACTCTGCTCTATGACGGCTGTTGATCGAATCTACAACCGACAAGTTTGTAGGGGTGTAACGATGCATCGAACTATCGTTGGATTGCAATTGTTGAGTCTCCGATAGCAATTAATCGATGGTAGAAACGAAAATTGAAAATGAAATTGACTTCCGTTGATAAATGCGCCGCGCAAAATACAGGAAGTACCAGATTCGTTCTCTTTGATTTATCAAAAGAGACTGCGACTACTTCAGCTTGTTAGTATGTCATATAAACTATATATACATTCATTCGGGAAATGACTTCAAATGAGACAATTCAAGGAGAGAAAAAACTATGGCAATAGTATTGCAATAGTTGGTCGCAATAGTAACCTGCAATAGGCTATCGCTATCGCAATAGTTGTTTCTCCCTCAATAGTCACCCCTACAATCTAGTTCTCGACATCATGAAGAATCAGTCAAGTGTTCGAGCATGAACATCCGAAGAGAAACTGACTGACTGACTGAGTATAGTTTTACGCCGCTTTTAGCAATATTCCAGCAATATCACGGCGGGGGACACCAGAAATGGGCTTAACACATTGTGCCTATGTGGGGAATCGAACCAGGGTCTTCGGCGTGACGAGCCAACGCTTTAACCACTAGGCTACCCCACCGCCCCCCGAATAGAAACAAACATCTACGGATGATAACATGGTGTACAGAAACAAAACCCGTTGTTGGCATCGTGACGTATAGTAACAAACACCTGCTGATAAGTACTGCATAATGTGGCGTTACATGTTATATAGATGCCACAACCTGCTGATAAGTATTGCATAATGTGGCGTTACATGTTATATAGATGCCACAACCTGCTGATGGCAACACGACACATAGACACATGTAGATGTTCAAGTTCATGAATATTACGTGACGTACAGGATCAAAAGCCAGTCACTTGGTGCTGACGTTACATGACGTATTGGAGCAAGCACCTGCTGATGCATACGTTACATGACGTATGCCAACAACTACTCGCGAGAAATGGCTTACAGTACATGTATATACACGGGGAAAAGTATCGCAACACCTGTGATTTTAACCCCCATATAGCCATGTATATTCAAATCATACATATATTGTTGTTTGTGTGTTTCCTTTGGCCAGCCTGGGACACCAATCTCAGATATCCACGTGCTACGATAAATGCGAGCATCACGAATACGTGTACCAGTTATCAAGTTTCAGTAAACCGTTCTTACTGATCGATAATATAGAAAATCAATTGATTCTGTTGCTGATAAGTAAACATGGGGCCTCATCAAATAGCCACTATTCCAATATGGCAGATTATTGGTATGCGGAATGCTGGCATGTCACTGAGGGCTATTGCAAGACCTGTTGGTTGTCTGCCGATTGGCCAGAAAACATCAGCAAACGTTCAGGTCAACCACGAGTGACACCACTTCGGGAGGTTACAGCCCTTCTCACAATCACAAGTTTTCATCCGTTCATGTCAAGTGGGGTGTTAAACAGAGTGGCTTCAACATCGTCGTTTGTCCAACAAAACGGTCCCAAATCGCCTAAACTCGGCAGGGAATTGAACCAGACGACCTGTTATCATCTGAGCACAAACCAGCACGACAAGCTTGATGTCAAGGTCGACGTCACCGCAATTTGACGTCATCTGGAACGCCACTGGTCGGACGGAAGTCTATATCATTTGGTCATGACTATAGGGGACGCGGTAACAATATATATACACGGAATATCTCGGAACAAGTGCCGTTTGGCGGGGGGTTATTGACGACGTGGGATGACGTGACTGTATACCTGATCTAGTAACGATCAGATAAAATGTGAATGTGACATATATGACAGAGTTGTTATACCACATTCCGATGACCATCCTCTGAACACAATACTATGGTCTCCGTGGACAACGATGCCAGGCCACATCGTGTATGTGCTGTTAGTGAGTTAGTTCCTATATCTAGAAGCGGTAGCATCTCTACCTTGGCTCACCGGGAGTCCAGATCTCAATCTCATAGAGCAGATTTGGGACTTTAGGGTTCGCAGAATATGCCACAGATCCTCCAATATTAGATAGTAATGCATTACAACAAGCCCTCCGTCAAGAATGGAACTCAATACCCCAACGTTAAATTCAATGTCTGATACAGTCAGGGTCAGGGATGTTATTGCAGTTGGCGGAGGTAACACCAGATATTGATATTGTGTTCGGTTCCTGATACATGTGATTTCCTGAGGAATGTATGTCAGAATCTTGAAAATACCAACACTTGTTAACGTCATACGCCCTTGGGTAGCAGCACTACAAAATGTGTCAATTTTGCAATGTTTGCTCCTCTGAAGCAGCAACTAGATGTATTTGTCTTCCTCCTTGCGTTTAGCTTTGCCATTTATTCAATTGGGTTTAATTTTTTCTCTTCTTTTTTTGGAGTGTCAGTGTATCCAGATACTAGGTTAAATTGAGGTTTCTATGGTTTTTCTATGGTTAATGGTAACATATTGATATTATGGAAAATATGGGGTGTTGCGATACTTTTTTCCATTTGTATACATGCTCTGTCTTCAGCCAAATTGTTGACACTGCTGGCACTGCGCGTTACATGCTCCAGTGCCTGTATATATAATCCCAGTACATGCGAAGACAAATATGAAGAACTGAGATCAAACAGCTAGCGTGTTATCACGTAGCTCTCGGTGTTGACGTGATGCTGACGTAAGCCGTTGTTGATTCGCAGCTAATGACGTCACGCCACAGATTAACGCTGAGCGGTAAGTGAGCGATAATCACCTTCTCCATCACGGCCCCGCAAGCAATCATGGCCACCCAGTAATAAACCTTTTTGTTGACGTGTAGCCTCATAGGTACCATATGGTCGGCCTCGTGAACTGCCGCGGGATAAACCAGTACAACTGAGGGACACAGTCACCTTGTTGATTACTCCCTGTGCTCTATACGGTTTTTTTTGTGGTTGCCATTATCACGATACAGAAACACGGAAATACGAGGTCCTCTGATCTTTTGTTGTTACGTTGTCACATTTCTCAAAGAAAATCAGGATATCCTTAGGCAAAAATATCCTTGATTAAATCAAGTAAATGGCTAACTCGTGTTTACAAGACCTTTTTTCTAGAATGGACATCTTTTCTTAATGACTCTCAAATGAATAATTTTACATTTAAAGGTTGAGAGAGTGAGTTGAGTTTTGAGCCGCTTTTCGCAATATTCCAACAATATCAAGGCGGGGGACACCAGAAATGGGTTTCACATATTGTACCCATGTAAGGAATCGAACCCGGGTTTTCGGCGTGACGAGCGGACGCTTTAACCACCAGACTACCCCATCGATCCTCCGGACACAAGGGGACTCGAATCGGTCAACGTCGGACATTACTACACGTGACCGAATTGTATATTATGTAAAATAAATATTAAAAACTTTAAACTGAATTTGTATAATCCATGAAAGGTTTGGTTACCAAATTTATTCAGTCTAAGTAAACTAAGGCTCAGTATTATTCGTTACACTGCTATCAGTATAGCGAAAATGTTATAATAAATTTGGTTCAAAAAGAAAATGAAATAAAAAAGAAATAAAACCCTTTGACCAAAAAATGATATATAAAGACAAGAAAAGCTTTATCTCCTTGATCAAAACTCTATATTTCATGTGATCTGGTCGGCATATTCTGAAATTGAAAGAATACTTGTTTGGATAAACGAGTGAGATCAACACGCGACGGAGCATGGTGCACGTGCGTCATGATTATCAACACATTTCTCGTTTAACACGCAATGGCGAAATCACACAGTATAAATAAAGACTGCAAAGATTGTTGGAATATTTTCAAATATCTTGCACATCAAAACGTTTCGTCAAAGTCTGAAGGTAGGGATGTATTTTATTTTCACGGAAGGAGGGGTGTGTTCAAACGTAAAGAACACATGATAGACTGTCGGCGCGAGTGCTCTGCTGTACATGCACTGAGGTTGCTGCATGCCTGAATTTATGGCGACTGACGTCACACTATAATATATTAAATATATATATATTGTGTCATGTCTGTATATGTATATTGTTTTCTTTTTTATGCAATTGTAATCGAAAGAACTGTTCTCAAATTGTATAATGTGTTTCAATCATCCACTACAACAATCTGGTTGGTCCACGTTATATGTACATACTTTGGTTCAAGGAAGACTGGGTTAAATATGAATTTGCAACCACATGACTACTACAGTGTGGACCGCCTCCGTGGTGTAGTGGTTAGAGCGTCCGCCCGGAGAGCGGAAGGTCGCGGGTTCGATCCCCGACCGCGTCATACCAAAAAGACGTTAAAATATGGTACTTGTTGGTCCCTGCCTGGCGCTCGGCATTAATGGGTACAACAAGGACTGGTCCGCTCGGAGTCAGTATAATGTGTCTGAGTGGGGTATTCATGCTTCACTGCGGCATGGTATCTCAGTGAACTAGCACTATAAAACCAGCTTAAGTCTGGGCTAGTACAAGCAGCCGCACATACACATACACACGCATGCACGTCGTCATATGAGCGAAATATTCTCAAGTACGACGTTAAACCCAATTTCACCTCACCTACTACAATGTTTGAAATGTCGAACGTTTATGTTACTATCTGAGAATTCTGTTATGGTGTTGACACATACCAGTTGTTGTTTATAACTGTACGAACAATTGTAAATCTCCAGAAATTGTCAGGGACCGTTCAGAATTTATGGATGTTGGGTGTGATGATGATTTTTAAAGGGGGTGGGGTGGGGGTGTCTCCCATTTTTGTGCCGGGGAGGTGGGGTGGGAGTTCAGCAATTTTGTACATAGAGCAATTTCAAAATTATGCTTTAAAATTATGGGGGATGGGGGGGTAATTGACTTTGTACATGGTATTGAGGGGGGTCACTTACTTTCTACATAAATCTTAGGGGTGTCATTCACATTGTACATGCCTTTCCATGAACATCATCATCTCCACCAGCCCACCATAAATTATGAACAGTCCCTAAATAATAGAGTCTGGATCAGACAATGCAGTGATCACTAGAGAGAGATACCTGATCCAGATGAGAAGTCTCCTTCTTGCGGCCGTATGTTCATTTCATTTGTATATCTTTGTGTAGAGGTGTGACCTTTCCTTTCCTATTCCCCTTCAATAAATTACCTCTTTAATAAATTACCGTCCCTAAACCTGATATTGTGGTGATGATTTAGATCGAGTGACCTAGATATAGTGCATAATGTACGCATTTCTATATTCATCCACCCAGTTATGCATATCGATGCCATGAACAAGTTAATTTTGATAAATTAAAGAAAAAGTTTCACCAAATACACATGAACTAAAGCCATATTACCCGAAACACATGTTTATGTGTATTTATAAACTGAGCTTAAAAGAGAAGTTTGATTGGAGTTACCTCCCCTGTGTGATTTCACAATCGCAGGCAAGTCGGCGATTTCTCAGTAAGGCTCAATCAAGCGTTTCCACTCAGGGTGTTGTTGGCTCGTTGTGCAAGGCCACCTGTATATATACAGCTAAGGTCCCACGTCACCATTACAGGATCTGGGGGGCAGGATGTGAGACAACACAAGCGGCCGCTGACAGTATTCAAGAAAACCATCTTACTTTCACTTTCACTGAGAGTGACTGGATGTTTTAATTTAAACATATCTTCAATATATCGTTGGTACGTATCTTTGCATTTCCGACTTGCAATTATTCTCGATTGAAGAATATTGTACCGTTTTTGCATCTATTTTCTATACATTTATATGTTTTATAGGGACAGTAAGACCCAGCTAAACCAACTGTTAAACAAATTCAAATTCAGTGGCAGCTAGTGCACCTCATTTCTTTTGTTCTATTAACTTAATTTCGTAATTCCATTTATCACGTATTACATTTACGAGTCGCAGTCAATAATGCAGTTTTATGACTGTTTGAAAACAAAAGTTGGTGAATTTATAGAATTGAATGAGTTCACGTGAAATGTATCTGATTTAAAGTTTTTGGTCAGGACGTAAATCAGAAAATTTTCCCCGTCTTGTTTACCTCATGACGAGACTCAGTTCGCCATGTCACTGATGTCAAACGTCCATGTAGCCACCAATGACGTGAAACTTTCCCCTGAATAATTTTACATAATATTTAGTGGAAACAAGTCAAGATTGTTTAATCGTTGAATGCACGCGTTTGCATCTGTGTGATCATGTCTTGAAATGATAACATATTTTTTCCTTCCAGAAACCGTCCACTCATCTCAACATGTCGGACTCTATTTCCTTGACATCCATATCTGTTGGAGAAGCCCTCCGCATGTGCAAGGCAACTACTGACATTGACGTTATTATAGAGTTGTCTAAGCATGACAACCCTCAAGTCCGCCAGAGGGCGCTGAAAGAGATGTGTCCTTGCCGCGTTAAGAAGGACCTTGACGACTTCTGGCGACGGGTGGTGCAGATGATTGACGACGAGGCAGACAATGTCCGCATGCAGGTTCTGCACACTCTCTGCGACGGCTCCCCACAGCACATGGAGTTCGCCGTGGCGGAAGCTCTGGAGGTGTTCAACCATGACACCAACAAGGAAATCAGGAGAAAGGCCCACAAAGCCCTCACGTCGTACAGAATGAGAGGCAAGTGGAACATCATGTAATGGGGAGGTGCGGAAAGGAGCGGGGAACAACAATGAAGGATTTCTCTTATAGACAGCAGCCATCCTGCATGGCCTGTTGGCCCGTAACTAGGACAAAAGACGTGATGAGTTGGAACAAGTTTGAGAATCAACAGAGGAAGAACATCGTTATGTAGGCCTGCAGTCTAACAGCGTTGTGTCGAACTTCGGGTTATCTCGAAGAAGAAAGGCTTGGTCCATGCGTATTCTTTATTAAGTCATAATTTTGCGGATGAGCTCAACCTTGGATAACTCGAAGTATTTACGGAGAACCTTATAACATCGACACAAATGTGTTTTACTGTAAGTTATAACTGGTGCCCTACATGTTGAAACTTGCTCCATCCGAGCTTTTAGTCGTAGTTCTTGTTGATGCTATAAACCGCCGAAGTTGGACCATGACATAAATCCATCCACAGACGTTTTAGAACAAATGTTACGGAAATCTTAAGTCTAATTTGGCTTGTGGTAGCACTACCGTGAGTGCCAGCCACGCTCCATTTGTCGAACAGATTATGCTGTCAAATATGCTCAAGACTGCATTACCATTTACCATATGTGATATAGACTCATGACTTTATAAATATACTGATGATGTTGTTATTTTTATAATATAAACATGCATTTGTCTAATACAAGATTTGTTATTTGTTCAATGCGCCCATTGCTTGTTATGACAGAAGATACCCGTGAAGGTCTTCAGATACCCATGCATGCCGTAAGATGCGACAAACGGGATAGGGTGATCACACTCGCTGACTTGGTTGTCACATGTCATCGTATATATCTTAATTGCGTAGCTTGATACCTATGATGTTGATCCGCGTGAATGATGTTGCTGGAATATTTCTAAAAGCGGCGTAAAACCAAACTCAGTCAGTCAGTCAGTCCTAATTGCGTAGCTTGATACTTATGATGTTGATCACTCGTGAAGGTCCAGGTTAGAATGAACCTTCACTAACCCATGCTTGTCGTAAGAGGCGACTAACAGGATCGGGTAGTCAGGCCCGCTGGCTTGGTTGACACATATCATCGGTTCCCAATTGCGCAGGTCGATGCTCATGCTGTTGATCACTGGATTGTCTGGTCCAGACTCGATTATTTACAGACCGCCGCCATATACCTGGACTATTTCCTATGGCTGGCCTGACGACTACATTGTTGGACACGCCAGTAACGTATGATCGTGGGTTGAATCTCGGGGTGTGCCGCTTACATTTCTTATTATCTCAGCATCATACGTATTTTTGTGGATATCACCAAGGTGGTGCACGTCTGTCACCTCAACCTTTCCTACCACAGTAAGATGAAGTTCACCAATAAAACTGGAATACTGTTCAGAGGGCGGTGGGGTAGCCTAATGGTTAGAGCGTTTGCTCGTCACGCCGAAGACCCAGGTTCGATTCCCCACATAGATACAATATGTGAAGCCCATTTCCGGTGTCCTCCGCCGTGGAATATTGCTAAAGGCGACGTACTCACTCTCACACTCATTAATATGCAAGCTGTAAAACATGTTTCTGAGAGCACTAAGCACTAATACCGTACTTTTGGGCACATGGAATAATTCTTGAAGATATCATCGAATTCATTATATGAAATCACTCATCATGACATGCCCTATTTAGTCTTGAAGATGAAACCAAGCACTTGTCCTATGTACACTTGCTAAATATTGTATTGCTTTTAGAAATAACTAGCGACCGACTTGCGGTGAGAAAATGCCTCGATTGTCACGTATGAAAATCAGGATGTTGAAATGTTGTCTATCCGAGGGATAACGCCATCATATCTATGTGTTCATAATTCGTGACAAAGGGCAGTATGTCCGTCTTCCGTCGTGTTACAGAGTGCTTGTGAGTAACCATACAGGAGAAGCCCCTATTATGTCCACGTAACGGCCAACAAAGGATATGACGATGCATTCTCTATGTAGTCATGACGTCATAGCCCGATACAACGCGGATTTTGAGTCAGGGACAGCAAACGTGTGTGTACCACAATAGAACTGAAATAATATAAATCAAGTGTATAAAATAACATTTATTTATCACAACGTTGGTTGTGGATTTTTTGTCGCCAAAACTACCAAACTACTAACGATGTATATAGTTAGTGGTCGGTGTGAAATTGTAACAGATTTTATCTCCGGGTATGTGATGAATATAGAGTTATCATATCTGTTCCAAACAAAATCTACTGTGCCAAGTAGGTCAAGGCACAACCCAATTGTGTCAGGGATATGAAATATACAGACCAATCGTGTCTGGCGGGATGAAAACGCAGCCTTATTGTGTCAGGGGATGAAGACACAACCTTATTGTGTTTGGTGTGATGAAGACACAGGGGGATGAAGACATGGCCTTATTGTTTCAGTGAGGTTGAAGACACAGCCTTCTTGTGATGAAGATACGGCCCTGTTGTGTCAGTGAGGTAATACATAGCAATATTGTGTCAGGGAGGGTGAATACATAGTCCTATTGTGTCACGGGAGATAAAGACATAGGCCTGTTCTGTCAGGATGGAGTGAAGACACAGCCCTGTTGTGACAGGGAGGTTAAATACATCGATCATGTCTGGGGGAGTGAAGGCAAAGCCCTGTTGTGATAGGGAGGTAGAAGGCAAAGCCCTGTTGTGACAGGGAGGTAGAAGGCAAAGCCCTGTTGTGACAGAGAGGTAGAAGGCACAGCCATGTTGTGACAGGGAGGTAGAAGGCACAGCGCTTCTGTGACAGGGAGGTAGAAGGCACAGCCCTGCTGTGACATGGAGGCAGCAAGCATAGCCATGTTGTGATAGGGAGGCAGCAAGCAGAGCCCTGTTGTGACAGGGAGGTAGAAGGCACAGCCCTGTTGTGACAGGGAGGTAGAAGGCCCAGCCATGTTGTGACAGGGAGGTAGAAGGCCAAGCCATGTTGTGACAGGGAGGTAAAAGGCCCAGCCATGTTGTGTAAGGGAGATGGAAGGCACAGCCATGTTGTGACAGGGAGGTTAAATACACTGATTGTGTGTGTGAGGGTGAAGACACAGTGTCAGCCCTCCTGGTATTACAAGGGAGGCAACTCTCTACAACAATTTCGGGCAACAAACACCATTGGCACTAAAACCGGAGGCATAAAAGAAGACATATATATCATTACAACAGACACATGCATGCAGTGTTAGTAGATATGTTTATTGATTTATTTAGTACAAAACAATAGAAAATATCAACAAATAACCAAAGTATGTGTAAATCATGTAAGAATACAGTGAGATTTTTGCAGTTGGTATGTAAATAATCACATCAAAACACCAAATTATGAAAAGGTAATATGTCTCAACAGTTTCACAACCAGTCTGCCATCATTGTTTATTGGGGAATCATTTTGAGGGTAAAACATTTAGAAAAAGGAATGTTGTTTCATGTCACAGTTCAAACAAAATTGATTTTCTGCTATAGGGAGAGGCTGACAACATCAAATTAACTTTTAAGCCCAAATCCAGAGGGACTCTTGTCATCCCAAACTGGTTTCCTCTTTAGATATGGCTTGGGTGAGATGCGATCTCCTGGAAGATATATCGCAACAATCAAAACTTTATCACAATGCTTTGCACATGATTGTGATGTCATTGTTCACCTTGATGTCACAATCAAATGACATCACTAACCTCTCTGCCGCTGAAACAGGTTATCTGTTCTTTTTTACACTCAAAACACTGCGTATTACTGTTTACAAACTGAAAAGTTGGAAGAATGAATTTGGATGATAAATAGAAAATCACTCATGTATTTTGATATCAAATATATCAACACTTATTTTGAAATGCTTAAACAATCCTCATCAGGTCTCGGAGTTTCAAATCCTCATCGACTCATATTAATATATTTCATATTAAAAGACATTTTGAATTCTCTATATACACGATTTTAAATTTTCTAAATAACTGATGCTAAACTGAAAACTTTAACAGATCATTTATTTTGCAAATGAAAAATATATTTGTTCACTGCATTGCATTCTACTTTGCTAGATACACCTACATAACAACAAGTCACACATTACACATAGAGAACGGTAAGAACACTTCTGTATATATGTAGAATAAACCGTAACTTTTCCATCATGTTTAAACCTTTAAAAACAACATCTTGTACCATGATTACCAATGTCATTAAAATAAATTAATCATAATCAAGAATCGCAGTGATATTTTTCTACACTCTGCAACATTTGGAAACATCACAATGACAACAGGTCTAAAAGCCTTGTCTGTATATCAGACTGGTTCTATGTATTACCCCCCAAATCACTAAAAGTACAAACAAATGTTTCAGATCTGTTACGGAATGTCATATCGACATTCCTAAAATGGAATTGTGTGGAATATTACTATAAATATTGTGTTTATGGTATTTGGCAATGTCACTGAAATCAAATTATGATCTGAGAACCATTCTATAGATGGTTGCATCAGGTGGGCATTAGCAAACTTCTACTGTCCAGTGAAAATGAAGGGAGGATGGGTTCTTAAGCCAATCAAATGACACGGCTTTATTTCCGTTCTGTTGCTTGGGGCAGTGGGGTAGCCTTGTGGTTAAAGTGTTCAATTGACACACCATAGACCCACAGCCATATTGCAAAAAGTAAACTAAGTAGAGTCAAACTAAACCTATTTACTCAGCCTAAAGGGCGGTGGGGTAGCCTAGTGGTTAAAGTGTTCACTTGACACACCATAGACCCACGGCCATATTGCAAAAAGTAAACTAAGTAGAGTCAAACTAAACCCATTTACTCAGCCTAGAGTTAGTTTCAAACAAAACTAACCACCACCAAACACTGTTTACACCCGATACTAACCAATTTGGGCGTTGATTCTTTCAGATTCAGAAGCAACAAGATGCTTAAAATATCCACATCTGCATAATATACAATTTATTCCGACCTCTGTTTCCGTTTATGAAAAACAGAAATCACTGCTTGCACATATTGAAAATAAAAAGCCTCCGCACTGATTGGCTGACTGGAAAGATCACCTGACACAACCTGCTATGAAGGTATCCTCAGGTCTTTACACGGGGGAATCACCTCCGAGTAACAAATCAGATTGTAATGAGTTCTCATCATTACAACATAGAGATATAATTCATAGAGATATAATTCATTATTAATGAATATAGACATAAGCCAGTCTAATCTGCAAGCAATTTTAACATGATAAAAATATTTTGGCAATCTGAGATTGTTACGTTTCCATATGAAAAATGTCTGGACCACACACTTAGTGTCAACAGTGATGTTCATTCAGCAACACAGGGACAACGGTTTGTCCACACGCCAGGAAGGTTTTATGTGTCCTGTGTATGAAGACTACTGTCAAGTGTGGACTGACCCTACTTGTGGCTAAAACAGAGTATATCATCCAATGCCCACATATAATTATTGATCCTACAATGTAGGAGGAATTAACAAAAGGGGAAATTGACAGCATATGAAAGCAACTTTCTGTGACAAAACAGAAGTCGCCCACAGCTGCTGTCCCAGGCCTTAAGCCAATGCATTAATGAAGAATTTTCATTCAGCTTCTGATAACTCAAGGACTAACAGCAAAGTGTGCTAACATCCATCAGAATCTCATACTCTCAGCAACAGCACATTTTGATTGGATGAGAACATATTTTGATTAGATTAGAACCGAATACAAAAGAATCGATTTCTTATTTGGATTTGTCTCATTTTAAGATTGATCAAATTCATTCTTCTCAAATATCACTGTGATAAATGAATAATAACAAATACTACTGCCTCCTCTTTTTGGAAAGTTATATGGTAGAAGTTGTTCCATTGACATACAACTGGAATATAGTCCCATCATGCCAATATTGATATGTCCAACTAAGTACAGAGTATACTTTTACATACAACGTACACATACGTGGTTCCCAGTTTGTGACCGGCATTATACAGACATGTCACAATGGACTGACACAACACATAATCACATACCAGCACACATCATCAGTATATCATCATATATCATCATATACCATCAATATACCATCATATATGATCAATATATCATCGTTTATCATCATATATCATCAGTATATAATCATATATCACCAGTATATCACCATATACCACCAGTATATCATCATATACCATCAGAATATCATCATATATCATCATATATCACCAGTATATCATCATATACCATAAGAATATCATCAGTATATCATCATATATCAATATATCTTCATATATCATCAGTATATCATCATATATCATCAGTACAGGTAATGAAATAATGGAATGTAACATAAACAATATAAAAATAAGTTTCTATGTCACCACCTTTAAAAGCTATATATCCTGTTAAGTAGAGATATATCGATGATTATTATGACCCACATATCTATGTGTGACAATTATCTCAACAGCAGGGGTATCTCAGGTAGAGTTCATGCCTTAATTGTTGACAATGTGTTGACAAACTAAAGGTTGTGACACAAACACTTAATGGATGACAATTTTGTGTTATGGCATATAAAAAAATATTTTAAAAATTGTGAAAAAAATATTTCAGTCTGCACAAAATTTCTTTTGGTAAAGTGATTTGAATAACAATATTCTTTCGCAACAGAGATGTTTTACTTGTTTGGTTGCCATTTAAGAAATATTCTGTGCATATTTATTCTATAAATGGTCACATCTAACATTTTTTACAAACTGATATATTTAATATACAATTCATTGAGAGCTTTGTGCTGGCATGTTTGAACATTACCAACATTTCATTATTCAGACAGGCTAAGACTTAGTAGGAATGTTTACACAACCTCAATTTGAAATATTTGTTCATCAAGATATCTGAAAAACATAACAAATATTATTGACCAAGCAAACTAATAGTAGAGTTTAAGTTCACTAGAGTTATGTCCCCTGATACTTGCGATTTCATGCAAGAACATTTACTTGAAATGCCAACATAAAACCTTCAGCTTCACAAATTTGAACACATTATCTATACAGTCTGACCTGTATTAGACTGGTGGTTACTACAACAGGCCATCTTCCATAGTGCAGTCTGTGCGCATCTTCCCATCGCTGCACACACAAATATACCTGGCATCATCAGTCTCCATGGTGACACAGGTGGTACCCCGAGGACAAGGACTATTCCTGCAAGGGTTTGTGGGACGGGAACATCCTGGTTCTGAAGATACAGAGATATATTCCTACAGAACGTGGTCCTGCCAGTCACACACTGGGAAAATTCCAGGTCAGCTGTGCTTGTTTCCTAGAAATGTTATATTTGACAGCAATATTTGAGCTAAATGATGCCAGCAATATTTTAGCTATTGATGAGCTATATGTTGCCGACCAAACAAACCTAGTACTGTATATTGAGAAATAGTCTGACAGGACCAAACAAATAAGATAAGAAGATAAACTTTATTGTCCTGCAAGGGAAATTTGTTTTGCATTCAAAGAGCCAATACAAGCATATAACAACAAATAATTTAAAGTATATATACACAATGCCAAGCTAATCAGAATATAATGTTGAATTATAACATAACCAAAGTTCGTGATATAATAATCACTTGTGCCTCATCATAGATTTCACTATTACAATTTTGGAGGAAGATTTAGAAGTTTTATACTGTATGGACAAATGATTTTGAAGTTCTATTAGTTTTGTAATACATGATTTTGAAACGGCGGCCAGAAGGCAGAAGTTCATAACATTCATTTAAAAAGTGTGATGGATCCAATTGATTTCATTTCAGAAATGTAGGCCATCCGGTCCATAATTCACCAGTCTAAGTAAACTTAGTCTCAGTACTATTCGTTACACTCCTCAGTATAGTAGGGTAACAAATAATACTGAGGCTAAGTTTACTTAGACTGATAATTCACATACATAGTCCTTTAATATACTTGACAGAGTACCTCATTATATAAATTATGACATGTGACAATATTTGATAGATTTACCAACAACATTTAAATATGCTTACATGATACATTTAAATCAAATACAATTGTTTTCAATCCAGTTTTGTCTTAATTTAAAACTGCAAAATATGAAAGCTCCTAACTGCGGCCAGAAGGCAGAAGTTCATAACATTCATTTAAAAAGTGTGATGGATCCAATTGAATGGCCAGAGCTTTCTTCTTAACTTTTGACCACGGCTCGATTTAAGAGATGTTGACCTACTTGCACCGGGTGCAACCTAAGATAAAAACCTAGTTGCACCAGCCAAATTCTAATCGCACTGCTTCTATTGCAATATGTAATGAAAGAAATATGCTATTGAACTATTTAGATGTTTTATTCACAAGTTTACCCACTCACAAATTGACCTGCACCTGGTGCAAATTAGACTAATAACTAGGTTGCACTTTGTAATATTTGCTAGCACCAGTGCAAGTAACAAAGCACTAAATCAAGCCCTGTTTGACTCATACTGAAAAGGTAGAGGTTCGAAATTGAAGCCACAAATTTTGCTTGAGATGTTTACAATTTTGTCAAGTTTGTTTTTCTGTGTAAGAGGAAGATTGCCATACCAGGCATGAAAGCAGAAAGTTAAAATACTATTAATGAATGTTTGGTAGAATAATTTTAAGATATTAGTGTCTACATAAAATGATCGCAATTTTCACAGAAAGAAAAGCCTCTGTTGTGCTTTCCTATATACAGGATGCGAATTTGATTTCCATGAAAGTTTATTATCAATGATAGTACCCAGATATTTATACTCTTCTACTGTTTCTACTTCCTGTCCATCAATACAAACAGGTTTCAGTTTATTTTTTCCACTTCGGAAGTCAATTATAATTTCCTTTGGGTTTTTTATGTTCAGGGAGAGGTAATTGTCTTTGCACCATGAAGTAAACGCATCAATATTTTTCCTATACTCTAACTCTGATTGACAAATAAACCCAACCAAAACGGCATCATCAGCAAATTTGAAATTCAGACAGGTGGATAAATGAGATATACAGTCATTTGTATAGAGTGTGAAGAGGACAGGGGACAGGACACAGCCTTGAGGAGCACCAGTACTCGCAAGATTAACGTCAGTCACCAAGGCTGATCTATTGATCATCAAATCAGCTCCTACGACAACCTATGTCCCTGGGGAACCATTCTAACCCATAATACACATGGCGGCAGTATGCTTGTTGGTCATCACAGCTGACTGACGGAGGACATGGCTGCTTTCATGTCATCACATACTGAAGGCATACAGAGTGACATGCACACGTGTGCACACTTGTCTGCAGGCTTGATACTGCTAGCCGACAGAGACAGCACATAGCATGCTATGATGGATACCCCATATCTGTACCCACTCTTAGCTGACCAGACATAGTTTGATTCCCTTTTGTGCAGAGTTCCATGCAGGATTACAAGTATGACATACCGTATATGACCGTCTATAAGCCGAATTTTGAGGACCAAAAAAAGCCGTCTGTAGAAGGGGGTCGTCTTATCCATGAGTTACACTTTCGTCAAACTTTTTTCCAGGGGTAAGAAAACAACATCGTATCACTCCGCGTGAACAAACAACAGAAGACGACTTTGTCAGTAGAGACGTCAAATTTGCAATTAAACATCACTAGACAAGATTAATTACCATTTAAGTTACAAGTTGTTTTTGCTGGGCATTGTTTTATTTGCAGGGATTAAGATTACCGTGCGTATTTGTCTCGTACACAAAGCCGGAAATAGCAATCAGCTGTGCACACGTTTCCCGGCGAACAAGTTCAAACATGCACAATAATATAACGGGATGAATTCTATTGATTGAATACTATTATTTAACCCAAAGAAATATATCCTAGCATTGTGTAATAGTTTTTATGTAAAAACTATATAATCAACACTAAGGTTATACCAGGGATACTCTACAACAGGGATAGGTCACTCGCTTGCTTTCTTTACCATTTGTACTAATTAACGTGTGCCTCGTCATGCTCCAACGCACACAGTGACTTGGTTCGGTCCCAGCGCAACTTCGGCTGCGTTTAACAGTACTTCAGCCAGTGTATTGTATAGGTCGGAATTTTACAATGAATGAATGAATTAATTAAGAGCAAGAATTTTATGTGAATGAATGAAAGAAATTAAGAAAAAGAACAAAAGAAAAAGAACATATGTGAATGAACGAAAGAATAAATGATACACCACGGCCATCTCTCCCCAAACATGTTAAAGAACGCAAAACTATCGGTAGAACACATGTTAACATCAGCTGTCCTTTTTATAAAAAATCTACTTTGAGACATTTTTTTACATTAGTAACTAATTCAGATATCTTATTGCATGTGTGGAATGACATGGGCATTGACAGAATGTTAACTGACACTGTCACAGACCCCTCAAGAACAGAAAGTTTAGAACTATCACAAAGCCTTGCAAACACCTTTCCAGTTTTGTCAAATACTAAGATCAACAAAAGAAAGAAAGAAGTTTTAGAACTATAACACTCAAGCATTACAAGCACCAATGGTATCAGAACAGATCGTGATATGTCATATTTTCACACACCTCAAATACACACTAACAAAAAAAACAAAAAAACTATCACTATTACTTGCAAAAACTTTCACCTGATGGTATATTCCCTCATAAAAATTAAAGGTGTTTGTGAAAGATGTTTTAGAACAATAACTAGAAACACTCAAACAGCGCCCTGTAGTATTTCAATGGCAGATCGTGATATGTCATATTTTTCACACACCTCAAATACACACTAACAATTTTTTTAAATTATAAAACTATTACTATTACTTGCAAACACCTTTCACCTGATGGTATATTCCCTTATAAAAATTGAAGGTGTATGTGAAAGATGTTTTGAACTCTAACTAGAAACACTCAAAAAGCCCTGTAGTATTTCAATGGCAGATCGTGATATGTCATATTTTTACACACCTCAAATACACACTAACAATTTTTTTTTAAATTATAAAACTATCACTATTACTTGCAAACACCTTTCACCTGATGGTATATTCCCCTCATAAAAATTGAAGGTGTATGTGAAAGATGTTTTGAACACTAACTAGAAACACTCAAACATAGCCCTGGAGTATTTCAATGGCAGATCGGCGATATGTCATATTTTTACACACCTCAAATACACACTAACAAATTTTTTTAAATGATAAAACTATAACTATTACTTGCAAACACCTTTCACCTGATGGTATATTCCCCTCATAAAATTGAAGGTGTATGTGAAAGATGTTTTTGAACACTAACTAGAAACACTCAAACAGCCCTGTAGTATTTCAATGGCAGATCGTGATATGTCATATTTTCACACACCTCAAATACACCCTAACAAAAATTTTTAGTTATAAAAATATCACTATTACTTGCAAACACCTTTTAACTAAAGGTATATTTCCCTTCTAAAAATTAAGCGAATATGTGAAAGAAGTTTTAGCGATATAATTTAGTCTTTCTTCGCTGTGTACTGAGAATTGAAGCCAGTGAGCTACAACATGCCCACTTGAAACTTTACTACAAAGCTACTGTACTTATACTGACACTAATAACAAGTATTTGACTTAAAATGAAGTGACAGAATAGGTAACTTATCTTCTACGTGTAGGTTTTCAGTTGTCACAACACTCAGCGTATGTAATCAGCTGTTGAAAATAAACCGGGCTCAATCTTAAAAACCACGCTGCCGCCATATTGGCTGCACTGGTCACGTGACGAGCCGAGGCATAGCTTAGCAGCTTTCCGAAGAGTGACCACTCCCCCTTATAGAGTCTCCCTGGTTATACGGACCATCATGAACGTGGTAAGCACGTGACATGGAACGAGGCGGTAATGTCATTTGGTATGAGGCCACCTGGGATTGCTAAAGTCATACACAGAAACACACAAAGACACAGACAGAATCACAGACAGACAGATGCATGCACAAACACACATACATTTTACATAATGTAAATTTCTCTCTGAATATAACAGTACATATTCTTAACATGACGTAGCTGGCTCACCTGTGCATCCTGTTTCAGAGACAGTGTACTTGACGACCTTTGACATCTGACCAAATCCCTTCCTGTTTCGTGCCTGCACCTTGATGTAGTATCGTGTGTCCGGGGTCAGGTCCTTGATGACGACGGACAGACGATCCCCCCCAACCCCCTCCATCACCCAGTCTTGCGTCTCTGCATCCTCTGTCGCTGTGTAGTACACCAGGTACCCTGGAGCAACAGTTGCCATGGTAACTCAACATGGTAACAAAAGGGCATCATATAAAACCCTAAAAATAACTGCAGCTGCAGTTTCCATGGATGCAGATTACATAGACAATGGAATATTATGTTGAACACCTGGTGTCCTCTAGCATCACAGTTGCCATGGTGATATAGCTTGATGCAGGGTCATCCAACAGATGACATTCTTATCTTGTCGTGTTGTTAACAGGGTTAAGATTTTCGGTCATGTGGACAAGGTGTCCAACCTTGGATCTGGAGGCCTGTGGTTCGAATTCCATCACTAGACTCAGTTATAAACACTTACAGTTTAAGGAATAGTGTATAACTTGTGGTACAGTTGACTTACCTGTAATTAAACCATTAGTCTTGGCTGGTGGCTGCCAGGTGACGATGGCAGTGCCATAGTTGCTGCCTGAGACTGCTGTCACGGTAACGTCCTCCGGTGGACCCCCAGGTGCTACAACAGCCGTTCAGTATGTAAACATTGTACTGTGACATTATTACCCACATGTCATGTGATGGTACCATCTGATTGGAAATTGGACAGGTAAAATTACTCGTGAAAAATATTTTAAAAAAACCCATTCTTCTTTTGTGTAGTATATACACACGTTCAACACACGGACAGCCTACAAAATGTGTCTGTAAGTCAAATCCCTTTAATAAAACGTTCATCACTACAATTGCATACAAATTGCTCTATGATCTTTGTTAGTCTGATGGAAAAGTCATATATGTGAAAAGTTAAGGACACTATAAAGATTTATTATTTTTTTTGCAATAATTTAACTTAAAATCACACCATTTACATAACTGTGTTAAATATGTTTTAGTAAGTGATTGAAATTATGCTTTAAAGAAGGAATTCCAATAATTGTTTTTAGATTTGCATGAAGAATTCAGGATTCAACAAAGTTAGATTTCTACTTTGCATTTGAAATTCAGGGGATGTCGACAAACTCAAGGATGGACATTTGAATCTGCATACTCACAATACCTGCTGCAAATATATATACCGTAAATACTGGAAATATATGCCATAACTACCTGCTTCTTTAGTCTTGACTGCAAGTGTCATGCTCCATGGACTGTGCTCGCCATACTGAACCGACATGACTGACATCTCATACTCCGTGTTGGCCTCGAGGTCCATGATCACAACGAACGGGTCATGAACAGATAGGTTCTTAAAGCGGGAGTCCAGAGAAGGTTTTACACTCTTGTACCGGACAATGTACTCAACGTCTTCATGTGAGTGTCCTTTCTTGTGAGTGTCTTTCCAGGTGAGAAGTGCTGATTCAGCAGTAATCTTGCGGGCCTTCAGACCTACTGGGGGTAACTCGTTGTACGAAGCTCTCGTCTCCCGGTGAGCAGATTACATCCCCTATAAAAGACAGTTGGATAAAACCTGTATGAAGATCAGGGTCAGGTGATTTAGCTTGCTGGATCATGCAAGTCATCATATGCCATACATCTATGCCCATGATGTCAGTCTCTAGATTACCTTGTCTAAAGTGAATCTCAAGTGACACCTACTTCCCTCACTTCATGACACAACCCTGTATGGAGTTTAAATGCACACGATCCAGGACCCTGAACATGAATTATTAAAGGGGGCTCATACAGTTGTGTATTTGTTTCTTCGCTCAATCACAAATGAAACATGAAAAAAATTATGAATACTATTGAATATATTGAAAATATTTTTAAAATGAGATGATTGACCTTCCATCCACTGTATTAAAGATATAATGTCTGGCAGTATACAATGAACGTTTGAGACAATTCCTAACTTATGTGGGAAAATAGATACTTGTAGCACTGTATCAGGAAATATATGCTGCAGACTACGATTAGTGTCAAGCAATAGACTACAGTTAGTTCATAATCACAGCAGAGTTGGTGTGAAATACCTGTGCCAGATGTTCTGACCATGGATGAGCGAGATAGAGGTCCGTACCCCTCCTCATTTCGTGCTTGTATCTTGAAGAAGTACTTGGTGCAGGGAGTGAGGTCAGTGATGGTGGAGGTCAGAGTGTCGCCCAGCACGGCCTCCAACACCCATTCCCGCTCCGGCTTGGTATCATCCGTGGAGTAGTAGATCAGGTAGCCTACAATGGAGGTATGTTGTGTGAGATAACCACAACCATCTCTCTGATAACACCACAACCATCTCTCTGAAAATGGCCGGAATCATTTCTCTGACAACACAAAAACCATCTCTCTGATAACACCACAACCATCGCTCTGAAAATGCCGAAATCATTTCTCTGACAACACAAAAAACATCTCTCTGATAACACCACAACCATCGCTCTGACAACACAAAAACCATCGCTCTGACAATGCCACAACCATCGCTCTGAAAATGCCAGAATCATTTCTCTGACAACACAAACACCATCCCTCTGATAACACCACAACCATCGCTCTGACAACACCACAACCATCTCTCTGAAAATGCCAGAATCATTTCTCTGACAACACAAACACCATCCCTCTGACAAGACAACAACCATCTCTCTGACAACTCTCTGACAACACCACAACCATCTCTCTGACAACACAACAACCATCTCTCTGACAACTCTCTGACAACACCACAACCATCGCTCTGACAACACCACAACCATCGCTCTGAAAATACCGGAATCATTTCTCTGACAACACCACAACCATCTCTCTGATAACACCACAACCATCGCTCTGACAACTCTCTGACAACACCACAACCATCTCTCTGACAAGACAACAACCATCTCTCTGACAACTCTCTGACAACACCACAACCATCGCTCTGACCACAACCATCTCTATGACAACACCACAACCATCGCTCTGACAACACCACAACCATCTCTCTGACAACACCACAACTATCTCTCTGACAACCCCACAACCATCTCTCTGATTACAACACAACCATCTCTCTGATAACACTACAACCATCACTCTAACAACACCACAACCATCGATCTGAACATGCCGGAATCATTTCTCTGACAACACAAAAACCATCCCTCTGATAACACAACAACCATCTCTCTGACAACACCACAACCATCTCTCTGACAACACCACAGCCATATCTCTGACAACACCACAACCATCTCTCTGACAACACTACAACCATCTCTCTGACAACACTACAACCATCTCTCTGACAACACTACAACCATCTCTCTGACAACACCACAACCATCTCTCTGACAAAACTATAAGACACAGCTCTGACAATACTGGAATATGTTGGCCTTACAAAAAGAGATTACAGACATTCACAGGGGTTGTTTCCCTTCTTATCACCAGGATCTGCTGCTCAAGACTTTAAATCCCTGGTTTGCTATACCGGTGTTTGTTGCATTCTCAACAGTAGTACACTTCAGTGTCCTGTATCACTTTGCTTTTCTCACACAAACATCATATCATACCTGACGCACCTGCAGTACCCACAAAAGCACCATCCTAGCAATCATATCTGAACAGCTGAAACTTTATGAAGCAACTCTACTGCCTGACAAATAGAGTGATAACTTGTGGAGTTACACTGTGTTTCCTTAACAACTTATTTCACTGCTGCAATGATTCTGGTAATACTGATATGGATGGACTTGCACCACCCTTTGTTACTATAATTACCTGTAATGACGCCATTAGGAATGGCTGGAGGTTGCCAGTTGATCAGAGCAGTGTCACCTTTGTCATCTGCTACTGTCACGGTGATGTCTGCTGGTGCAGTACCTGGAGCTGCGGACCAAACAACAACTTGATTAATCCAGCACTGTACCTAGAGGTGCGGACCAAACAACAACTTGATTAATCCAGCACTGTACCTAGAGGTGCGGACCAAACAACAACTTGATTAATCCAGCACTGTACCTAGAGGTGGGGACCAAACAACAACTTGATTAATCCAGCACTGTACCTAGAGCTGCGGACCAAACAACAACTTGATTAATCCAGCACTGTACCTAGAGGTGCGGACCAAACAACAACTTGATTAATCCAGCACTGTACCTAGAGGTGCGGACCAAACAACAACTTGATTAATCCAGCACTGTACCTGGATGTAACATTTAGTCCCCACTGAGGTAGCCTAGTGGTTAAAGCGTTCGCTCATTACACCAAAGACCCGGGTTCGAATCCCCACATAGGCACAATGTGTGAAGCCCATTTCTGGTATTCCCCGCCGTGATACTGCTGGAATATTGCTAAAGGCGGTGTACTACTAAACTCACTCACTCACTGACAATGAACATGAAATGTTATTACTGGAGCTTCCTGGAAAAATATAGAAAGCCTTTCATGTACGGACCAAGAACTGTTAAACATTACCTGCTGCCGAGGTGGTGAAAGCAACAACATTAGAGAATGGTCCATAACCCTTCCTGTTCCGAGCCTGCACCTTGAAGTAATTCGTCTGCTCTGGCTTCACACTGTTCAGGCGGGTCGACAGATCTTCACCTTGCACCTGCATGACTGTCCAATCTCTGTTGTCCCATGTCTTGTTAGTGGCGTAGAGAATCGTGTAGCCTGAGTGTGTAAACATTTTGGGTCTTACATCACATGACGATGTATTTTCTGACCAGTAATTTGCCCAGATATGATCAATGTCTTATATATCTAGAATATCTGAACAAAATTTCAACACATACCACATATCAACATCCAGCTCTTCAGAAAAGAAGAGGTCTGTCATGCGATCAGAGGTTTTACATACAAGGGCTATATGGATGCAAACAGTGTTCAATAAATTTGTGTAACCATGGTAACATGGATTAAAGAACTTAAGTACTCCATCTGTAAACTCTGGCTGATCATCTCTCTTTTTCATGTATAATTATTGGATTATGTTGCCATGGCTACATACATGAAAGCTGCAACAAAGGCATAAATATATGTCTACACCGTTTTTGTAAACCCATTCAAACAAAGATACTATATGATGCAGACGGACGTACCCGTGATGACTCCATTAGCCTGTGTTGGGGGCTGCCAATTGATGGCAATGGAGTCCTGTGTGTCGCTGAGAACAGTCAGGTCCGTTGGTGGCGTGGCAGGTGCTATAAGAATTGAATTTTCATCCAAAACAAAATCTCCCAAGAGCTATCACTACAATAATTGCATCAAAATGCTTGCAGACAAGTCACCTCATTGGTTACCATGACATCACAATCAAATGACATCACTAATCTTTCTTCCACTAAAGCTGGTAAGCACAACTTTCTATACTCTTGACACAGATTTACTGTTTGCAAACTACAGCTTGTTCAGCTTAACCTGAGCTACTCTACATATGACTGGGAGGTCAAATGGCACAAACAGCAGATCGAGTTAACTTCATTAAATAGGGGAGCAGAGAATGTTATTAATGTTGCATTTGTGCGAAGCATGCATACATGGATTTGTTACAGAACCCGGAAAACAACACTTTTTTAAAGAAAGCTGACGATTTCTCGTCACTGAGATGTCAAACGGCGACCTGTTCAGACATGTTGACAATCAACTGACAAATGTGCACCCTTCACAATAATAGACCCAACCAGTTGTGATACACAATGCATTAGTATTCACTTGATCAAGTCAAGCTGAACAAGCTGTAATATGGTTGCATGAATGACTTTGGATGATAAAAAGAATCGGATTTGGGTATATTGATTTATAAAATATCAACATTTCTCAAGTTCACAGTTGATAAATACAACAACACTTCAGTACAATACTCTCGGTAACAACTGTGTTTCCAGCCCATTTCTGGTGTCCCCTGCCGTGATATTGCTGGAATATTGCTAAAAGCGGCATAAAACCATGCTCACTCACTCACTCTGTGTTCCCAGCAGATAGAGTTATACATAGTTATTTCATGTCAGGGATTTATGTAGAATATTTGACGTCTAGTCTGTCATAAATGTTTGTGACAATGCCAAAATGGAATAGCAACATTGCCCCTAATACTATTATCCATGTGAAAACAAATGTCATGATTCTTTAGGGGTGACCCACCGTGATATTGCTGTAATATTGCTAAAAGCAGCATAAAACCATTCTCACTCACTCACTTTAGGGGTGGCTTCCATTTCCTTTAGAAGGGGCATTTACGCTTAGGTTAACATTACTGCATTAAAGGTTACGGGGAATATAACTTTAAAATAACTACCCCTTTCAATAAAATAATTGTATTTTTACCCATTACAATTGCCACTGTCAGATTGGAATCCTGAGAATACTCTGCCACTGCCTTGTATGTGTGTCTCTGTTTCAGTACTTAAAATATGCTACCCGTGATGGTCCAGGTTAGAATATTGGCCTTCAGTAATCCATGCTTGTCGTAAGAGGCGACTAACGAGATCGGGTGGTCAGGCTCGCTGACTTGGTTGACACATGTCATCGGTTCCCAATTGCGCAGATCGATGCTCATGCTGGGTTGTCTGGTCCAGACTCGATTATTTACAGACCGCCGCCATAAAGCTGGAATATTGCTGAGTGCGGCGTAAAACTAAACTCACTCACTCACTTAATATATGTCACAGGTATATACTTCTGTTAGAGAAGGCTTCATTCTCTTTACACGGTTTTCACAGTAGCCAGAATTTATACACAATGGACTTGATTTATTATTTTCGCTGGTGTTTATAGATGTACATTGGCATTTATCTCTACCGTCAACATAACTAACTTTAAACAAAATATATTATATTTCCTGATTGTAACTTCATAACTAACAAAACATTTTGTAAATGTGGCTAAGTGAGTTCCACCATACCTGACTCGTGGGTCAAGATCAGAGATGACATGCTCCATGTTGAGTTTTCCCTTCCGTCCGTAACATGCACCGATACTTCGTATTCTGTGAAGGGCTTGAGGTTGTGTATCTGTACGCTGGTGTGAGAGGTGGCAACATACTGGTACACTTCATGCTTGTGACGGTACCTAACCATGTACAAGTAGTTGTCAGGAAGCTCTACCCCGGCCTTCTGGTTCCCATCAGTCCACGCATGCGATGATGGAGGATTTAGGACTGAAGCTGCCCTGTATCCCGACTGGTGGCGTGAGTGCGCTGTTCCGACTCCACTCTATAATGAACAACCTCACAGTAACATATTGTAACATAATGTTGGCAAATATATAGTATATGATGGGTGAGTCTATAATACTATTTTGTTTAATTAATATTTCAATGCTGAAATATGTTACAACATAGATCCTCACCCAAGGTAGTGAAGGACCAATGTCAATAATGTATAGTATGAGCGTAAAAAAAGACTTCAAGGCTTTTTTTTATAAACTTATAACACTAAATACAAAAACACTCATTCACACCACAAACACAACTAATAAAAGAACAGTCAATAATAACAACAACAATTTATACAATGCTGCAATGCATCCATAAGGACAACATTAATGAACTTAGTCACTGTGCACTTGATATTCATTCTCAGCTCCCTGGGGATCATACAACCCAAGTGGCCATTCAGGCACCAGTTACATTGTTCATGGGTGAGTGAGTGAGTTCAGTTTTACGCCGCTTTTTGCAATATTTCAGCAATATCACGGCGGGGTACACCAGAAATGGGCTTACACATTGTGCCCATGTGGGGAATCGAACCCGGACCTTCAGCGTGACGAGCGAACGCTTTAACCACTAGGCTACCCCACCGCCCCTGTTCATGGGTGAACAGAGGTCAGTTTTAAACAAAGTGAGGTAGACACCACATGAGCTAATTGTGCTTCAGGGTTAGGTTGCATCAGTTGCTAAGTTTCTAATACATTAAACCACAAATACAGTCACAACAAACTGTCGTATTGGTCCTGGACACTTGCTATATAATTTAGTTGAAACATGCATAACAAACTATGGTTATAAACATAGTAAAATTAGTGATCCTACAGTTAGAGGCCCAGGATGTGATCCTGTTGAGTTCATTTTGACCTTAGTTTACTGTCTTTCATTCACATAACTTTTGCCTGGTCCAGACATAGAGGCAGGCTGCTGCCATACAGCTGTAATATTGCTGACAGAGGCATTAAACAACAAACAAACCATGCAGAAAATCAAGAAAACAAGAAGCAAGATGGTCTATATAATAGATAATGTCAGTTCTTCAAGAAACCCACTTTTGAGTGTCTTGACTGCATCATAAAGAGGCTGCCCCACTCCAATCTTGTTGAAGCCGACAAGTTTCACCACATACTCTGTGTTTGGCTCTGTGGAGGACAAAGATGGATGACATCAAAGGTCTGTCTGACTACAGTTCTAACAGGAGGGATGACTGATATTCATGAAGACATAGTAGACACCACAAGCATTTCAACACTATGATTATTATGTTGAAGTGAGCGTATGTTCTTTACTGGCATTCATGTTTACCAGTTTGATCAGAATTCTGTATGCATATAAGAACAATATTGCAGAGATTATTGACGCAAAGTTCAGTTGACCAGAATACAGAACATCAAGTGTAATCACATCATCACGCACATCACAAGGAACATTTTTCCTTTACATTGGGTGATCTCGAGGTACAATTTTTATTCTGTTTAAGTGTAGATTTCTACTTGGTATGTTTTGCTAAATATAGGGCCTCTTTAGAAAGACTTAAAATCACTGGCAATATTAGGGCCTTTTCAAAGCTAAAATTAATTCAAGTTCTTTTGCATAAAATGTCCAAATAACTGTCTTTTCAAACCCGTGTGAACCCTGTGGATGAATGAGATTGGTAACACAGCAGACACTCACCTAGGTTGATACTACGGTATAAGACATCTGATGCTTGTCCACCACTGTGCTGTGGGTGTCTGGGATGCCCTTCCGTAGCTGAGGATGTAGCCGTCCGCGAGGTCAGCTGGGAGGAGAGAAGTGGGGCCAGTCAATCACCACGCTGTTGCTACTTGGCCTCAGACGTAAATGAGTAGGTGGGGCCGGAGCACTGTAGACCCTGTCTGAAAAGGGCATGAAAACTTAAAATAAACCTACAGTAAATATCACTCCATAGTTTTAAATTGTATGAAGTAACTTTTTCAGTGTTCATAATCAAGGTGGTACTGAACTCTGTTATGTTTCATTGCTGTAGTATTTTAATTTAAAACATGATAACTCTTTAATATTTAAGTTTACGACAAAGACCTCTTGACTTACAAGCTTAATTTCAAATGCTGTATACGATTAATGATATGTTTACAGTATTTGATGCACTACATGCAAATACCACTTGAATCACAAATGCCATTTATGTGCATTATAGAGAGCTTAAATGGTTTTCCAATACTTCTTAAAAACAGCAGCTATCTCTGCCTGCATGTTTACTAGACATGAGGCAGGTTGGAACATCTCGTCATACAGTCCACTAGAGTACAGTCACCATCACCTGCCGTGGTCTCTGTTTTATTCAGAATCTACTGAACACTGTCGTTAGAGAGGCCAAATGACAACGATGTATAATGGCGTCATGTTACTGCTGTCAACATACTGTGTGTCCTGATGGTGTCAGACGGAGGACTGGCCTGGCTGATGCCGATTTCGTTTCTTGGCTGGGACCTGGAACATGTGCGATGTTCCTGGCTGCAGGTTCTGTACAGTGTAGGAGTTCTTTGTGATATCCTTGGATGCTGTTACCCAATCCTAAACAGTCAAAATGGGGCTAAAAATCCCTCAAAGCTACAACCATGAAACATATTACAAAATCAATAACATACACAAATGAACAAATTTTACCTCAAATCTTTTGTAATATTTTTATGGGAGGGTGTAAGAAGTGATGCATGTGAACAAAATCTGTAGGACTCAATTCTTACAACTTCATTTAAACACACTGCAGAGGTATCTGTAATTCATCATTGGTTTCTATTCAGCAGGTAGAGAGAGTCTGGAAAACACACAGTGTGAGGCTCCACACAAACAGTCAGTCTCTTCAAGGATTACACAGGATCAGCCATCTAAAGGTACCACAACTGACACACCACACAAACAGTCAGTCTCTTCAAGGATTACACAGGATCAGTCATCTAAAGGTACCTGGCACTGACACACACACAAACAGTAATTCTGTCAACAGTCAGTCTCTTCAAGGATTACACAGGATCAGTCATCTAAAGGTACCACAACTGACACACCACACAAACAGTCAGTCTCTTCAAGGATTACACAGGATCAGTCATCTAAAGGTACCACAACTGACACACCACACAAACAGTCAGTCTCTTCAAGGATTACACAGGATCAGTCATCTAAAGGTACCACAACTGACACACCACACAAACAGCCAGTCTCTTCAAGGATTACACAGGATCAGTCATCTAAAGGTACCACAACTGACACACCACACAAACAGTCAGTCTCTTCAAGGATTACACAGGATCAGCCCATCTAAAGGTACCACAACTGACACACCACACAAACAGTCAGTCTCTTCAAGGATTACACAGGATCAGTCATCTAAAGGTACCAAAACTGACACACCACACACAAACAGTCAGTCTCTTCAAGGATTACACAGGATCAGTCATCTAAAGGTACCACAACTGACACACCACACACAAACAGTCAGTCTCTTCAAGGATTACACAGGATCAGCCATCTAAAGGTACCACAACTGACACACCACACAAACAGTCAGTCTCTTCAAGGATTACACAGGATCAGCCATCTAAAGGTACCACAACTGACACACCACACAAACAGTCAGTCTCTTCAAGGATTACACAGGATCAGCCATCTAAAGGTACCACAACTGACACACCACACAAACAGTCAGTCTCTTCAAGGATTACACAGGATCAGCCATCTAAAGGTACCACAACTGACACACCACACAAACAGTCAGTCTCTTCAAGGATTACACAGGATCAGCCATCTAAAGGTACCACAACTGACACACCCTACAAACAGCCAGTCTCTTCAAGGATTACACAGGATCAGTCATCTAAAGGTACCACAACTGACACACCCTACAAACAGTCAGTCTCTGCAAGGACTACACAGGATCAGCCATCTAAAGGTACCACAACTGACACACCACACAAACAGTCAGTCTCTTCAAGGATTACACAGGATCAGTCACCTAAAGGTACCACAACTGACACACCACACAAACAGTCAGTCTCTTCAAGGATTACACAGGATCAGCCATCTAAAGGTACCACAACTGACACACCACACAAACAGTCAGTCTCTTCAAGGATTACACAGGATCAGCCATCTAAAGGTACCACAACTGACACACCCTACAAACAGCCAGTCTCTTCAAGGATTACACAGGATCAGCCATCTAAAGGTACCACAACTGACACACCACACAAACAGTCAGTCTCTTCAAGGATTACACAGGATCAGTCATCTAAAGGTACCACAACTGACACACCCTACAAACAGTCAGTCTCTTCAAGGATTACACAGGATCAGCCATCTAAAGGTACCACAACTGACACACCACACAAACAGTCAGTCTCTTCAAGGATTACACAGGATCAGCCATCTAAAGGTACCAACAACTGACACATTCTACAAACAGTCAGTCTCTTCAAGGATTACACAGGATCAGCCATCTAAAGGTACCACAACTGGACACACCACACAAACAGTCAGTCTCTGCAAGGATTACACAGGATCAGCCATCTAAAGGTACCACAACTGACACACCCTACAAACAGCCAGTCTCTTCAAGGATTACACAGGATCAGCCATCTAAAGGTACCACAACTGACACACCACACAAACAGTCAGTCTCTTCAAGGATTACACAGGATCAGCCATCTAAAGGTACCACAACTGACACACCACACAAACAGCCAGTCTCTTCAAGGATTACACAGGATCAGCCATCTAAAGGTACCACAACTGACACACCACACAAACAGTCAGTCTCTTCAAGGATCATTACAGGATCAGCCATCTAAAGGTACCACAACTAACACACTACAAACAGCCAGTCTCTTCAAGGATTACACAGGATCAGCCATCTAAAGGTACCACAACTGACACAC